GACCAAAAAAGGACTAAACCAGGACTAAATCAGAACCAAACCAGGACTAAACCAGGACCAAACTACGACAAAAAAGGACCAAACCAGCACTAAACCGGGACAAAACCAGAACTAAACCAGAAGGAAACCAGACCCAAACAAGGACTAAACCAGGACCAAAGCAGGACTAAACCAGGACCAAACTTGAACTAAACCAGAAACAAACCAGAAACAAGCCAAAACCAAAACAGTTCCAAACCAGGACTAACAAAGGACTAAACCCAGACTAAACCAGGACTAAAACCGGGACCAAACCAGGATTAAACCAAGCACAAACCAGGACTAAACCCCGACCAAGCCAGGACTAAAACAGGATCAAACTTTAACTAAACCGGAACCAAACCAAAACCAAAACAGTTCCAAACCAGGACTAAACCAGGACTAAACCTTTACCAAACTACAACAAAAAAGGACTAAACCAGAACAAACCAGAATCAAACCAGGACTAACAAAGGACTAAACCCAGACTAAACCGGGACCAACCCAGGATTAAACTGGGGACCAAACCAGGACTAAAGCAGGACTAAAACAGGACCAAACTTGAACCAAACCAGAAACAAACCAGAAACAAGCTAAACCAAAACAGTTCCAAACCAGGACTAACAAAGGACTAAACCCAGACTAAACCAGGACCAAACCAGAATTAAACCGGGGACCAAACCAGGACTAAAACAGTTCCAAACCAGGACTAAACCAGGACTAAACCTTTACCAAACTACAACAAAAAAGGACTAAACCAGAACAAACCAGAATCAAACCAGGACTAACAAAGGACTAAACCCAGACTAAACCGGGACTAAACCGGGACCAAACCAGGATTAAACCGGGGACCAAACCAGGACTAAAACAGGACTAAACCTTTACCAAACTACAACAAAAAAAGGACTAAACCAGAACAAACCAGAATCAAACCAGGACTAACAAAGGACTAAACCCAGACTAAACCGGGACCAAACCAGGATTAAACCAAGCACAAACCAGGACTAAAACAGGATCAAACTTTAACTAAACCGGAACCAAACCAAAACCAAAACAGTTCCAAACCAGGACTAAACCAGGACTAAACCTTTACCAAACTACAACAAAAAAAGGACTAAACCAGAACAAACCAGAATCAAACCAGGACTAACAAAGGACTAAACCCAGACTAAACCGGGACCAAACCCAGACTAAACCAGGACTAAACCAGGATTAAACTGGGGACCAAACCAGGACTAAAACAGGACTAAAGCAGGACTAAAACAGGACCAAACTTGAACTAAACCAGAAACAAACCAGAAACAAGCCAAAACCAAAACAGTTCCAAACCAGGACTAACAAAGGACTAAACCCAGACTAAACCGGGACCAAACCAGGATTAAACCAGGACTAAACCAGGATTAAACCGGGACCAAACCAGGACTAAAACAGTTCCAAACCAGGACTAAACCAGGACTAACAAAGGACTAAACCTAGACTAAACCGGGACCAAACCCAGACTAAACCAGGACTAAACCAGGATTAAACTGGGACCAAACCAGGACTAAAACAGGACTAAAGCAGGACTAAAACAGGACCAAACTTGAACTAAACCAGAACCAAACCAGAAAAACCAAAACCAAAACAGTTCCAAACCAGGACTAAAAAGGACTAAACCCAGACTAAACCGGGACAAACCAGGACTAAACCAGACTAAACCAGGATTAAACCGGGGACAAACCAGGACTAAAACAGTTCCAAACCAGGACTAAACCAGGACTAACAAAGGACTAAACCCAGACTAAACCGGACCAAACCCAGACTAAACCAGGACTAAACCAGGATTAAAACCAAACCAGGACTAAAACCAGGACAAAGCCAGGACTAAAACAGGATCAAACTTAAACCAGAACCAAACCAAAACCAAAACAGAACCAAACCAGGACTAAACCAGGAGCGAAGTGCACGCAGCCGTCACACCTGCAGTAGTGTAGAGTTACTCGTGTGTAAAGCACAGGACAGAGTCAGTAGTGTTAAATCTGAGGGTGGGCGATATGACAAATAATAAAATCATACATATTTTTGGAGCCTTGAGCCACAATCAGGGCCACAACTAACGATTCTTTTAGTTGTCGACTATCAAACGTTTCTATCTATACTACATTTTGAGTGCAGTTTTGACTAGATAAAGGTTGAAGACTTCTGAACAGAGACTCTTTACAAATAAACTGTGTCACTGAGATCTGCGATATTAATTTATTTATTCATTTTTTACGTTTTGATTAGAGACTCCATGGCTGATGCAAACACTGACTGTTTAAAATCCAGAGCAACTGCTGGCCGATAAATCCTGATGATATTTTCGATCATTTCTGTGTGTTCTTCAGGCAGCAGCAGGCGACCAAAACGAAACATTGGTCACTTCTGGAGATTTAAGCAGATACTTAGATACTTTGAAAAGCTACAATGGACTCTGGATCTCTGGTTTAAATTTAATAATGTTACTGCCTTAGTTACGAAAGACCTTTTTGCATTTTAAACTCCAGAGAGTGAGTTAAATTATTACAACTGCGTTCATTTTAATAGTCCACTAATCACTTTTTTGTATTAAATGTCGCCGTCCTAGTCATGTCTCTGTTCTTGTATAGAAGCTTTTAACCGTTAACTAAAGCCATCTGCTAATTCTTACTTCACTGTGATTGGTCAAAACCAGCTGTCACTCACTCAAAGCGCGACAGAGGCTGACCAATGAGAAAAGTGGGTGTGTCTAAAAGCCGCCACTCACTACGGGATTTTTCACACGACACAGACACGAGGAAAATCTCCGGTTGCCGTGATCGTGTCAGCTGTTTCCTGTCTATAGAAAAACCACTCGCTCTGAGACTCTTAAGCAGACGTTGGGACTTGCGAGTCGTGACTTGGACTCGAGTCAGACTTGAGTCACTATTTTTAGGACTTAAAACTTGATTTGATAAAATGGACTTGGGACTTAGAAAATACTTTTCTCTTTACAGTTGATAAATGTGGTGCTTAATTTTACAAAGACAAACTGGAACATGTCCGTCCCACTTCTGTTTGTTACTTTGGATGGAACTGAAGTACTGTGATGTCGTATCATCAAATGTACTACAGTAATTATACAGTACAATACAGTAAAACAGAGGGAACTACATAGAACATGTTACTTCCATTTCAGTGCAAACTACATGACAAAATAATTGTCATTAAGCACTTTTAAATCTGAATTCTTTATGTTCAGACCGTAATGATTCACACTAAGGTTTTGTCAAAGGTCCAGTCAAGTGGTAACGGAGGGAAACGGGCAGATTTTTGACATTCAAATGTCTCTTATTCAGAAACTAGAGGGACTATTGAAATAAGTAAAGTATCAGAATGTAGGAAAGAGTTACACTCCAACAGGGTCAAGTTAAACCTGTGATATTCTTTCAAGTTGTTGACAAAAAATTTAAAAACTCATGTCGGTAACGGAGGGAATGAAATATGCAGCACTTTTTGGGCAATAAATCCAAACAGTGATAACTCTTGGTTCTCACTTACATATCCTTAACAAACTGGTCTGAATATTTGCTTCATATAGTTTTCTACCATATGGTACAAGATTAGGTTGAAAAACCTCTTACTTTTTGAGTAATGAGATTTTTTATTAAGAAAGGTCATAGGGAAAAGTAACGGAAGGGGAAAAGGAAAAAAAGTATAAAACATGTCAGTCCTTCTAAGCAAATTTTATCATTTTAAATACATTTGTTTTGTAAAATCCTGTACCTTCATCAACAGTTCAAAGATATGATGAAATACATCCATTTATTTACATGATTTGCAGGTCTTTGAAATTTGGGAAATAATTTTTGTTCCATGTTTCATACATGGTCTGTTTAAAACGTATGTAACTTTAGAACCAAAAATGGTACAGAAAAAAGGTCAACAGTTTCATAAACTAGAGTACATATGTATCTGTTCAATACATTTTTATATCAGATGCATTAACTTGAATTTTTGGCCTTGTTGAGTGAAGAAAATGTATAGTTTATATGAGTTTATATACGATCACTTTTTATGTACAGTTTAGTTTAAAATTCATATAAATTGCAAAATCTAAGCTATATTTGGTACTTTTTTGGTTTAAAGACTTGAAATGACTTGAAGCTCAAAGCAAATGACTTGGACTTGACTTGGACTTGACTTGGACTTAAGGGCCAGTGACTCAAGACTCAATTTGGACTTGCCTGTCTTTGACTTGGGACTTGACTTGGACTTGAGGTAAAAAAACTTGAGACTTGCAAAACAGCGACTTGGTCCCACCTCTGCTCTTAAACGTTCAAACATTCAGAGCTCTGCACTTCTAGTTTAGATACAAGTCAAAACTGTGTTATTATTATTTGTGAAATGTGGTGCAAAACTTCAGGATACATGATTTTTAAAGTGTAAAAGATCGTCGATAAAGTCCACAGGAAGTAGGATTCGCGATCACTTATCTGCAGCTTCACCTCGATTCGTGCTCTGGATGTGGATGTAAACAGACACACGTGAGGAACTACTCTGGCCTTTTTACTTTTAAAGAAGACCTCAAACTGGATTAACAGCGCAGTTTTGTGGGCTGGATTTCATTATTTGCCGTCATTTCTATGGACAATGTGGACGAGAAGCTGCACTTTAAATGTACAACTTTACGAGAGGTGAAGAATAAATTCGCATTATTTTCGCTGTTTCCCTGTTTTAGTGTATTTCAGAACAGAATCGAAGCATTAAACCGAAAATTACGGCTCACGACTTGATTTTATAACGTCATATCGCCCACCCATGCTAAACTGTTAACTCTAAATAATAACTGCGTGTTAGTGTTGCCATAGTAACGCTTTAGTCCATGCACAACGTCCGACAGCAGAAACGCATTCGCTACAGCCAGTGAGTCAGATTAAAACCGCGACATGAAAGTGTTATTTGGAATCGAGTCCAAATAAGTGAAAACAGAAGTCGGTTCTTACCTTTGATGCCGAATTTGGAGTTTCCGCTGAATTTGAGAATCACCAACATGAGGAGGAAGCCGACCAGGGCCACCGCGGCGATGCCCACCACCACGTACACCTGGAGGACAAGAGGAGCACGTCATTTAGTGTTTCAAAGTATAAAACATAGTAGTAACAGAGAGATGGACGAAAATGAAATGTTCTGAATCAGGATTTGGTTCATAATGACGTCCAGGAGCAGTTACGTTTGTGAGAAAACTGAATTATGAACTGATCAACTAAAACATTTCAGAACATGTTTGCAAAGCTGATTACAGTTTTTAAACAGTATAAGAAGAAGAATTTGTTATATTGTGATATTTAAAGCCCCACCGCGTAACTTTATAACCAAATATGGCCTGGAGAAGGGACTCAACCAACTTGCTCCCATGGAAATTTTGACCAGATAAAATGTTCTACAACAGGAGTGTCAAACTCAAATTCAACTGGGACTAAGTCGTGGGCCAAACTAAATATTTACAGAAAAATTTCAACCACATCGGCATGTTTTCTCTTCTTTTGAGACGTGTAATATTAAACTTTTCTTATTAAAATCAGTTTTTATTCCACAAACGCGGTCATTTTCGCTGTCTGTTCACTTCCGAGCCTCGTCCTTGAGGAGCACCTGTTCTGACTCTGAGCTGAGATACTTTTCCCCTGAAGCTTTCACTTCTGCCGTGTTTTTTCTGCACGTTTGATTTGTTTGTGATTGATCTTACAGCCCTGATAAATAATCACTGTTGGGCAAGTGACTTCAAAACTGTAATGTGTTATTTATGACTTGTTTCTGTCATTTCAAAGTGATTTGTTACATTATAATATTACTGTGTTTGAAATGTAAAACATTACACGACTATTACAGCAGTTTAACTGATCGTCAAATAACAATCAGTGAACGAACAGGCTGAACGTCTGCGCCGTATATGGACTAAACCAGAACTGAACCAGGACTGAACCAGAACTAAACCAGAACTGAACCAGGTCCAAACCAGGTGACTAAACCAGGACTAAACCAGGACTAAACCAGGACTAAACCAGGTCTAAACCAGTATTAAACCAGGTCTAAACCAGTACTAAACCAGAGCTGAACCAAGATCTAAACCACGTCTAAACCAGGCCTAAACCAGGTCCAAACCAGGTGATCTAAACCAGGACTAAACCAGGACTAAACCAGGTCTAAACCAGGATTAAACCAGGTCTAAACCAGTACTATATCAGAGCTGAACCAAGATCTAAACCAGGTCTAAACCAGAGCTGAACCAAGATCTAAACCAAGACTAAACCAGGACTAAACCAGGTCCAAACCAGGTGATCTAAACCAGTACCAAACCAGGTCTAAACCAGGATTAAACCAGGTCTAAACCAGGACTAAACCAGAGCTGAACCAAGATCTAAACTAGGACTAAACCAGGTCTAAACCAGAGCTGAACCGAGATCTAAACCAAGATCTAAACCAGGCCTAAACCAGGTCCAAACAAGGTGATCTAAACCAGGACTAAACCAGAGCTGAACCAAGATCTAAACCAGGTCTAAACCAGGACTAAACCAGGACAAAACCAGGACTAAACTAGGTCTAAACCAGGACTAAACTAGGTCTAAACCAGGTCTAAACCAGGACTAAACTAGGTCTAAACCAGGTCTAAACCAGGACTAAACCAGGTCTAAACCAGGACTAAACCAGGACTAAACCAGGAGGCTTTGTGTCGGTCCTTCAGCTCTGCCTGGAGCACCTCTGGGCCCATCCTGACATTCGGAACCACAACTGTTGCGTTTCACAGCTGCTGATTTCGCTTTCGATGATTTTTGTGAATTTGTATGAAGAAAAACGAAAAACCCACCACTTCAATCCCGGTTAAAAAAGCACCGTGACGCGCGATACTGACATTTGTAACGAGTAAAATACGACCACTTTTTTCCCTGTAACATCACTGCATTACAACAAAAAGCAAAGTATTACAGTAATGTGTTACTTTTAGGAAGCGTTACTCCCAACGGTGACGATAAAACAGATGTAAACGTAGGGATAATCGGACTTACCGCGACTCTGTCCTCTGGGGGGTCGATGGGGTATCCCTCTGTAAAACAAAAACACTATTATAATAAAAGCACTTTTTGTTAAACATTTGTCAAATCCTGAAATCAGATTCGTACCTGTCGTTAGGTCTGTTACGCAAAGAACAAAAACGAGAAGAGGACATGATTAAGAACAATCAGGATTATTAAAACGGTGCATCTATATTAAATCAAAAGGATCTTACCGTAATAATACGTCTCACTTCCAATGCCTAAAAACAAAACAGAAAAACTGCATCAGATTTCTTCTTTTTGTCTCGTAACGTCTGCTGTTCTTTTGTCGTTTCATTATTTTAACATTATAACGTGAGGTTTTTATTGATTTGTTTGATTTATTGTGTTCTTACTGTGAGTGGGCTCGCCTCTCCCCAGACCTGACCTGTAACCCGGCCCTAAGGTGTCGCCTGCTGAAGCAAACCAGGACTAAAAAAAAGGACTAAACGAAGACTAAAACAGGGCTAAACAAGGACCAAACCATGACAAAAAAAAAAAAGGACTAAACCAAAACTAAACCAGAAACAAACCAGGACTAAACCAGGATTAAACTAAACCCTAAACCAGGACTAAACCAGGACTAAACCAGGATTAAACTAAACTCTAAACCAGGACTAAACCAGGACTAAACTAAACCCTAAACCAGGACTAAACCAGGACTAAACCAGGATCAAACTAAACCCTAAACCAGGACTAAACTAGGACTAAACTAAACCCTAAACCAGGACTAAACCAGGACTAAACTAAATCCTAAACCAGGACTAAACCAGGACTAAACTAAACCCTAAACCAGGACTAAACCAGGACTAAACCAGGACCAAACTAAACCCTAAACCAGGACTAAACCAGGACTAAACTAAACCCTAAACCAGGACTAAACCAAAACTAAACCAGAAACAAACCAGGACTAAACCAGGATTAAACTAAACCCTAAACCAGGACTAAACCAGGACTAAACCAGGACCAAACTAAACCCTAAACCAGGACTAAACCAGGATCAAACAAGGACTAAACCAAAACCAAACCAGGACAAAAAAGAACTAAAACAGGACCAAACCAGGACTAAACCAGGACCAAACTAAACCCTAAGCCCAGACTAAACCAGGATCAAACCAGGACTAGACCAGGACTAGACCAGGACTAAACCAGGATTAAACCAGGACCAAACTACGACAAAAAGGGACTAAACCAGAACCAAACCAAGATTAAAAAAGGACTAAACATAGACTAAACCAGGACCAAACCAGGACTATATCAGGACCAAACTACAACAAAAAAGGACTAAACCATAACCAAACCAGGACTAAAAAAGGACTAAACCCAGACTAAACCAGAACCAAACCAGGATTTAAAAAGGACTAAACCCAGACTAAACCAGGACTGAACCAAGACCAAACCACGACAAAAAAGGACTAAACCAGAAACAGACAGGACTAAAATGGGACTAAACCCAGACTAAACCAAAACCAAATCAGGACTAAAAAAGGACTAAACCAGGACTAAACCATAACCAAATCAGGACTAAAAAAGGACTAAACCAGGACTAAACCAAAACCAAATCAGGACTAAAAAAGGACTAAACCCAGACTAAACCATAACCAAATCAGGACTAAAAAAGGACTAAACCCAGACTAAACCAAAACCAAATCAGGACTAAAAAAGGACTAAACCAGGACTAAACCATAACCAAATCAGGACTAAAAAAGGACTAAACCCAGACTAAACCAAAACCAAATCAGGACTAAAAAAGGACTAAACCAGGACTAAACCATAACCAAATCAGGACTAAAAAAGGACTAAACCCAGACTAAACCAAAACCAAATCAGGACTAAAAAAGGACTAAACCCAGACTAAACCAAAACCAAATCAGGACTAAAAAAGGACTAAACCCAGACTAAACCAAAACCAAATCAGGACTAAAAAAGGACTAAACCAGGACTAAACCATAACCAAATCAGGACTAAAAAAGGACTAAACCCAGACTAAACCATAACCAAATCAGGACTAAAAAAGGACTAAACCCAGACTAAACCAAAACCAAATCAGGACTAAAAAAGGACTAAACCAGGACTAAACCATAACCAAATCAGGACTAAAAAAGGACTAAACCCAGACTAAACCATAACCAAATCAGGACTAAAAAAGGACTAAACCCAGACTAAACCAAAACCAAATCAGGACTAAAAAAGGACTAAACCCAGACTAAACCAAAACCAAATCAGGACTAAAAAAGGACTAAACCAGGACTAAACCATAACCAAATCAGGACTAAAAAAAGGACTAAACCCAGACTAAACCAAAACCAAATCAGGACTAAAAAAGGACTAAACCAGGACTAAACCATAACCAAATCAGGACTAAAAAAGGACTAAACCAGGACTAAACCATAACCAAATCAGGACTAAAAAAGGACTAAACCAGGAAACCAAAACCAAAAATCAGGACTAAACCCAGACTAAACCAAATCAGGACTAAAAAGGGACTAAACCCAGACTAAACCATAACCAAATCAGGACTAAAAAAGGACTAAACCCAGACTAAACCAAAACAAATCAGACTAAAAAAGACAAAACCAAAACCAAATCAGGACTAGAAAAGGACTAAACCCAGACTAACCAGGACTAATCCGAGATCAAACCTCCACAAAAAGGGAGATTGATGATTCCAGCGCTAAAATGATCCAAATGATTCTAGTGAAAGTTTAAAAACACAACAGAACACTTCCTGTAACACCACGTGACATCACCGGGTGGAACGGAGCGTCGGGGCACTGACCTTCCCCCGGGGTGTGCATGAAGTGGGCGTCGACCTCCTTGCGGTCCATGCCAAACTCGTTCCGCGCCACCAGGGTGTAGTGGCCGTTGTTGATGTGGGTGGGGCTGTCGAGCTGGAGGCAGCCGTGGTACTCGCGGTCGGTCACGTCGTGGATCTTGGTCATGATGTAGCGACCCTCCGTCACCTCTTTGCCGTCCAGGTACCAGGTCAGGACGGGCTTGGGGTTTCCTGTGTACGGCAAAAGTACGGGGTCAGGAAAAGTACGGGGTCAGGGAAAGTACAGGGTCAGCAAAATTATAGGGTCAGGACGAGTACAGGGTCAGAACATGTACAAGGTCAGAGAAAGTACAGGGTCAGGGAAAGTACAGGGTCAGGGAAAGTACAGGGTCAGAACATGTACAAGGTCAGGGCAAGTACACGGTCAGGACAAGTACAGGGTCAGAGAAAGTACAGGGTCAGGAAAAGTACAGGGTCAGGACAAGTACAGGGTTAGAGAAAGTACAGGGTTAGAGAAAGTACAGGGGTCAGGACAAGTACAGGGTTAGGAAAAGTACAGGGTCAGGACAAGTACAGGGTTAGAGAAAGTACAGGGTTAGAGAAAGTACGGGGTCAGGGAAAGTACGGGGTCAGAGAAAGTACAGGGTCAGGGCAAGTACAGGGTCAGGAAAAGTACAGGGTCAGGAAAAGTACAGGGTCAGAGAAAGTACAGGGTCAGAGAAAGTACAGGGTCAGGATAAATACAGGGTCAGGGAAAGTACAGGGTCAGAGAAAGTACAGGGTCAGGAAAAGTACGGGGTCAGGGAAAGTACAGGGTCAGAAAAATTATAGGGTCAGGACGAGTACAGGGTCAGAACATGTACAAGGTCAGAGAAAGTACAGGGTCAGAGAAAGTACAGGGTCAGGAAAAGTACAGGGTCAGGACAAGTACAGGGTCAGGACAAGTACGGGGTCAGGAAAAGTACAGGGTCAGGACAAGTACAGGGTCAGGGCAAGTACGGGGTCAGGAAAAGTACAGGGTCAGGGATAAGTACGAGGTCAGGACAAGTACAGGGTCAGGGCAAGTACGGGGTCAGGAAAAGTACAGGGTCAGGATAAGTACGAGGTCAGGACAAGTACAGGGTCAGGGCAAGTACAGGGTCAGGACAAGTACAGGGTCAGAGAAAGTACAGGGTCAGGACAAGTAAAGGGTAAAAACAAGTACAGCATAGTTCTAGGAAATACACAGAGTAATACAAGGGAAAATCTCTGATGTACAGTGTATATAAAGCACTTTTTTAAACTCATAATTACAAGTTTTAGACGCATAATTTAGAATTTGAATCTCATTATTAGGAGTTTTCAGCTCATTTATTATTGTAATTCATTCATTGTATTTATTGTACTAAAGATCTCTAGTTTCAAATGGTGAGATAACGTTGTTTTACCTGAGACGCTGAAGGGGATGCACCAGTGGTGGTCGGAGATGGCGTCGCTCAGTTTGGTGATTTTTGGAGGAACTGCAACAAAAAAACAAAAACAAAAAACATAAATAAATGTGAACTGAAGATAAGGTCAGAGGAGGAGAGCGGGAGGAGCGAGGACAATGGCCGCGTCTCAGTTCTCGTTCTTCATTTCCTTCTCCTTGATCCCTCCGTTTTTCAGCTGTCAATCAAATGTGACATATTAAGCGGCGTCCCGAAGAAAACCACGGAACGAAGGAGTAAACACGAGGGACAAAGAGAAAAGAGTCAAACTTTATTGGTCTCAGTGAGGAGTTTATATCCTCTTTCTTCTCCGTGTCTCTGTTTTCCTCACCTACGAATCGAGGAGAGGAATCGAGGAGAGGAATCGAGGAGAGGAAATGAGGAGAGGAATCGAGGAGAGGAATCGAGAAGAAGAATCGAGGAGAGGAATCGAGGAGAGGAATCGAGGAGGTAGAATCGAGGAGAGGAATCGAGGAGAAAGAATCGAGGAGAAGAATCGAGGAGAGGAATCGAGGAGAGGAATCGAGGAAAGGAAATCGAGAGAGAGGAATCGAGGGTAGAATCGAGGAGAGGAATCGAGGAGAGGAATCGAGAGAATCGAGGAGAGAATCGAGGAGAAAGAATCGAGGAGAGGAATCGAGGAGAAGAATCGAGGAGAGGAATCGAGGAGAGGAAAGAGAAGAGGAATCGAGGAGAGGAATCGAGGAGAGAGGAGAATCGAGGAGAGGAATCGAGGAGAGGAATCGAGGAGAAAGAATCGAGGAGAGGAATCGAGGAGAGGAATCGAGGAGAGGAATCTAAGAATCGAGGAGAGGAATCGAGGAGAGGAATCGAGGAGAGAATCGAGGAGAAGAATCGAGGAGAAGAATCGAGGAGAAGAATCGAGGAGAGAATCGAGGAGAGGAATCGAGGAGAAGAATCGAGGAGAGGAATCGAGGAGAGGAATCGAGGAGAAAGAATCGAGGAGAAGAATCGAGGAGAGGAATCAAGGAGAGGAATCGAGGGAGAGAGAGAGAATCAATCGAGAGAGAATCGAGGAGAGGAATCGAGGAGAGGAATCGAGGAGAGAATCGAGGAGAGGAATCGAGGAGAGGAATCGAGGAGAAGAATCGAGGAGAGGAATCGAGGAATCGAGGAGAGAATCGAGGAGAAGAATCAGAGGAGAGGAATCGAGGAGATCGAATCAGAGGAGAAGAATCGAGGAAAGAGGAATCCAGGAGAGGAATCGAGGAGAAAGAATCGAGGAGAAGAATCGAGGAGAGGAGGAATCGAGGAGAAGAGAATCGAAGGAGAAGAATCGAGAAGAGAGAGAATCGAGGAGAGGAATCGAGGAGAATCGAGGAGAGGAATCGAGGAGAGGAATCGAGGAGAGGAATCGAGGAGAAAGAATCGAGGAGAAGAATCGAGGAGAAGAATCGAGGAGAAGAATCGAGGAGAAGAATCGAGGAGAGGAATCGAATCGAGGAGAGGAATCGAGGAGAGGAATCGAGGAGAGGAATCGAGGAGAGGAATCGAGGAGAGGAATCGAGGAGAAGAATCGAGGAGAGGAATCGAGGAGAGGAATCGAGGAGAAGAATCGAGGAGAAGAATCGAGGAGAGGAATCGAGGAGAGGAAGAATCGAGGAGAGGAATCTCGAGAGAGGAATCGAGGAGGAGAGAATCGAGGAGAAGAATCATCGAGGAGAGGAATCGAGGAGAGGAGGAATCGAGGAGAGGAATCAAGAATCGAGGAGAGGAATCGAGGAGAAGAATCGAGGAGAAGAATCGAGGAGAGGAATCGAGGAGAAAGAATCGAGGAGAGGAATCGAGGAGAGGAATCGAGGAGAAAGAATCGAGGAGAAAGAATCGAGGAGAGGAATCGAGGAGAGGAATCGAGGAGAGGAATCTAAGAATCGAGGAGAGGAATCGAGGAGAAGAATCGAGGAGAGGAATCGAGGGGATAGAATCGAGGAGAGGAATCGAGGGGTAGAATCGAGGAGAGGAATCTAAGAATCGAGGAGAGGAATCGAGGAGAGGAATCGAGGGGTAGAATCGAGGAGAGGAATCGAGGAGAAAGAATCGAGGAGAAGAATCGAGGAGAAGAATCGAGGAGAAGAATCGAAGGAGAGGAATCGAGGAAGAGGAGAGGAATCGAGGAAAGGAATCTAGGAGAAGAATCGAAGAGGAAGAGGAGAAGAATCGAGGAGAAGAATCGAGGAGAGGAATCGAGGAGAAGAATCGAGGAGAGGAATCGAGGAGAAGAATCGAGGAAGAGGATCGAGGAGAGGAATCGAGGAGAAGAATCGGAGAGAATCGAGAGGAATCGAGGAGAGGAATCGAGGAATCGAGGAGAAGAATCGAGGAGAAGAATCGAGGAGAAGAATCGAGGAGAGGAATCGAGGAGAAACAATCGAGGAGAGGAATCGAGGAGAGGAATTAAGGAGAAGAATCAAGGAGAGGAGAGAGAGGAGAGAAGAAAGCAAGGAGGAGGAGGAAGAGGAGGAGGAGGGAGAGGAGGAAGAGGAGGAGGAGGGAGAGCGGTGAAGCGTGGTGCAGCAGGAGTGTGTAAGATAAGAAAAGTAGCAGCGCTGTTAAATGAAAACACACAACAGATTTTTTTGAGATTTTGTCGAAAACTGCCTCCACATCTCTGGCTCCGAGTCCGAGTTTGAGACTGAAAACATTTCCGCGAGTCTGGACGTTTCGTTTGAAGTGGAATATCTCGATGACAGTTTTGGATTTCGCTCTGCCGCGCGTGACGGAGCGAGCGTGTTTTTTGGTTCGGTTCTTTCTGTTATCACGTCGTTTCCTCGTCACAAACGCGCCTGGAGTTGTGTTTTGTTTCATTCACACAAACCCTGCGTATTTTATCTAGGCTCAGTTCTTCTCTCAAACGGAAAACGCTCTCTTCTACCTTGTGATGTCATGTGGTGATACAGGAAGTGCTTTGGTAACACTTTATAATAACTACACCTTATTTAGCCTTAATAAAGCATGAACAAAGACTTAATTAATAATGATTCACACTTAGTAACTACTTAATTACTACCTGAATTAGCACTTAACTTGCACTTAATTCACCTGTGCTGTAAATAGTTACTCATAAGTATTTTTTTCTTAATTACTCATGAACTAACCATTTGCGTGTGCATTTGTAAATGTATATTTAAGTACAAATTTGAGCATTTATTAATGATTATTAAGCCATGAGAGAATGATTTACTAGTAATGCATTATTGTTTCTCTGGAATTTGACCAACTTTAACAAATGCTTAATAAAACATAATTATTCTTCACTTTAGAAAAACTCTCAGAAAGATTTAACTAACAGATAACAGCCGCCTGAATGATCATTGCATTATTAGTAAATCATTCTCATTCTCTCATAGTTTACTAATCATTAATAAATGCTCAAATGTGAACTTAAATATGCATTTGTAAACATGCAAATGGTTAGTTCATGAGTAATTAAGAAATATTGAGTAACTATTTACAGTACAGATGAATTAAGTGCAAGTTAAGTGCTAATTCAGGTAGTAATTAAGTAGTTACTAAGCGTGAATCATTATTAATTAAGTCTTTGTTCCTGCTTTATTAAGGCTAAATAAGGTGTAGTTATTATAAAGTGTTAGCAGTGCTTCACTATGTTTTTAAACTTCATGCACCTTCACTAGAATCGTTTGGATAATTTCAGCCCTGGAATTGACGATCTCTACTAAACAAAATGTGAAAAGTAGCATCATCACATCATCAAGGAGGAACAGAGCATTTTAAGAAACACAACTCCAGGTCTGTTTTTGAGATGAAAACGTCTTAAAGCTCATAACCAAGGGCGACGGTTTGGTTTCAGTTTTGGTGGGGACATTATCAGCTAAACCAACTGATCGTTACTTGATTAAAAGGTTAATTATATAATACTGTTTACTTTTCGTATGATGCACACTGCAAAAATCAAACAGCACAACTTTATAAGAAAGGGTCAAACGGGAGAAGAAGTTGTGTTTATGTTTTTTGAATTCTTTACAAAAACACACAGAGTCTGGGCAGGTCCAAAATAAGTGAGAGGTGGTTTCATTTTTCAGTTTGTGTCCATTGTCCTTCTAAGATGATTCTTTAGTGCAGGGGTGTCAAACTCATTTTGGTCCGGGGGCCGTATCCAACCTACTTTGATCCCAAAGGGGCTGGATCAGAAAACTCATGGCATATAAACCCCAAAAATAACAATAAGTTCAAATATTTGTACAGAGAAACACAAATCTGTTACAGGAATCTTTTTAATTGATGAACTCTTTCTTTTACAAAATATAATGTATATATATATATATATATACATACATATACATACATATACACATATATATATATATATTATGAACAACCTGAAACTTTAAGAAAAATGTAATTTCAACACAATGTTTTAACATGAACTTGTGCAAATAGGAATAAGTCAGTTTTTCTTGTAAAATCCTGCACTCGGCTCCACTTTTCTCATTTTTGACATTTTTCTGATGAGGGTGTCACGGTCAACAGTCAAAACGATCGTCCTTTAAGAGCGTTTGGAAAGAGACAAGTCTTCATTTGTGCTGCTCTGGTGGGAGGGGCCACGTACAGAGACACTGGAGACGCTGCTCTGCTCAGCACCGCAAAAAATTAACAAGATTTTAATTAAAATATTTAAGTTGAAAATCAGCCAAGGGCCAGATTAAAGGTCTTGGAGGGCCGGATCTGGCCCCCGGGCCTTATGTTTGACATCTGTGCTTTAGTGGATAAACAGCGATGTAGAAGGTTGCAGCAGATTTCTCTTTGCTTGTTGTTGATGAGATATTTGTGAGGTCATGTCCAAACATTTTTCCATGGAATATTGTCAGTAGAGTCGGGGTCTCACAGTGCACGAGTAGGACTCTGTTTGGGAGGTGCACTTGTGGTGATTAGGGATGGGCATGATTAGTAAATTAATCGATAATTGATCATTAAGAATTTCATCAATTACGTTCATTTTAATCGACAAACCAAATGTAGGTTGCTGTAGGGTGACCAAACGGGTCTGTACATGTGTCTCTCTGCACTCAGAAGGAGTGAGACACAGACAGTCGGTCAGTCTGCAACGTGCCGAAACGCAAATGCGAATTTAACGATGATTTGTACAAGAAATTCCACGCTTTCCGTTCCGGGCGGGACAAGTGTGAGTCCATGTGCACAGTGTATAAAGCAGCACATATGTTTCTGTGTCCAGTGGGAAAAAGTTTTACCAGGTGAGAGTCGCTCAATGTGGATGACGAGTCCCAACCTCCCTCCCCCCGTACGGTGTCCTGGTTTTGACAAACGCAAATATGGTCACACTAACCTGTATTCACCTGAGTCGTGTCGCATCAGCGCACAAGAGCTGTTTTTTTTTTCACTTCGCTTTGTTTATGCAAATTCACCATGCGGTTTTAAGTTTTGTTTCTGTGAGAGTTGAACAAAACTGAATTAAACACATTATAATGTCAAACGGGCTGATGTGGCTCTAGAGTCGTTACGGTTTATATGTCGTAAAGTTGAATTTATTTATGCAGATTAGTAGTGCAGATAGTAATAATAATGATGATAATTTTAATATAAAAACGTTAATGATTAATCGATAATCCTTCGTTAATTCTTCCAACGATCGAAAATTTCATCGAATGCCCATCCCTAGAGCAGAGAGTCGCTCTTTTTCCGCGGCGACTCATTATAAGACAAGTTTAACTGAAGATGAAGACACGTAATTTCCTTTTGAAAAGTTTTTCAAAGTTTGGTGCAGCGTCTTCACTCACGCTGCTCAAGTCGACATCTTCAGGTGCGGCCCTGTCCTGCCGCTTCCCCAGTTTAGGCTCCTGGCTCCACTAATGACATCACTCTGTTACAGCCAATGAAACAGCGGCAGGAGTAACCCTGTCGTCATATCACTGAACACATCTCAGAACATCTAATAAACAAAACGTGAACTAAAACCTGTTCAGTTAATACTATTGAGTTTGGAAAAACGTTGGAATAAATTTATATTTTTTAAAATGGCAAATATTGGTAGAGACTATTTTGTCTTCCCCAAATATTGGTTGTGACACGTCCCCACCGTCCCTCTGCAAACCTACGCCCTTGACCGAGACATTCCCACAGACATTTTGCCGTATAAAACCATTAACCTGAAGTTCCATTTATTCAAATAAAATGGCAAATATTGGTAGGGACTATTTTGTCTTCTCCAGATTCTGGTTCTGTGCAAAACTACACCATTGAATCATGTTGTTTCATCATCACATCGTACTAGGAGTTGTGTTTTGTTTCATTCACACAAACCCTGCATATTTTATTTAGGCTCAGTTCTTCTGTCAAACGGAAAACACTCTCTTCTACCCTGTTATGTCATGTGGTAATACAGGAAGTGCTCCACTGTGTTTTTAAACTCCATACACCTTCACGAGAATCATTTGGATCATTTCAGCCCTGGAATTGATGATCTCTACTGTCCAAAATTCATCAAATCAAAAGGTGAAACAAAGCATTTTGAGTTCAGAAGAGCCAACTAATAATAAAGGATTCTTCAACCATGTGTGAATGAAACAAAACACAAAGCTCACAAGAGTCAGTTTTATGTGATCTTGAAAGTCCATTTATCATTAAAATCTGTTTTGTGCAGTGAAATCCTGGCCCAGATGTGCCCCAGTACAGACAACGTGCACTGTACAAAACAAACAAATATGCACCAATGGGCAGTGTTGGGGAGTAACAGATTACATGTACCGGAGGTATGTAATCAGAGTACAAATTATGAGTAACTGTATTCAGTTACAGTTACTGTTTCAGTGAGTGGTAATTGGATTACAGTTACTTTGTTGAAATAAATGGATTACACGGCGGGATTTTCCAGTTTTCACATTTTGGGCTATTTCCTTTTTTTTTTTTCCAGAAATTCCACTCATTGCCGGACACTAAACCAGGTCTAAAACCAGGTCTAAATTAGGTCTAAACCAGGACTAAACCAGGACTAAACCAGAACTAAAGCAGAACTAAAACCAGGTCTAAAACCAGATCTAAACTAGGTCCAAACCAGGTCTAAACTCAAGTCCAAACCAGTTCTAAACCTGGTCTAAACCAGGTCTAAATCAGGACTAAAGCAGGACTAAAGCAGGACTAAAACCAGGTCTAAAACCAGGTCTAAATTAGGTCTAAACCAGGACTAAACCAGGACTAAACCAGGACTAAAGCAGGACTAAAACCAGGTCTAAAACCAGGTCTAAACTCAAGTCCAAACCAGTTCTAAACCTGGTCTAAAACTAGGCCTAAATTAGGTCTAAACCAGGACTAAAGCAGGACTAAAGCAGGACTAAAACCAGGTCTAAACCAGGCCTAAACCAGGCCTAAACCAGGTCTAAAACAGGATTTAACAGGACTAAATCATGCTGCGCTGACCATGTCTCCTCCTCTTCTATCAGTAATATTTTTAGTACGGTTAAGTAAAGACTGGGCTTCTTTATTGTCTCTTAGCAGACTAAACATTTTATGTGACGATTTCCTCGTCTTTGCTTCTCTACAGCAAATCAAGTAATCCAAAGTATTCAGATTACGTTACTCATTTTAAGTAGTTTAATGGATTACGTTACAAACTACATTTTGGGGGATGTGATCTGTAATCTGTAGGGGAATACATTTGAAAAGTAAACTTCCCAACACTGCCCATGGGTTTCAGGGTGATGAAAAATGAGCACAGCTGCCGTGGCGATTAACAATTTAACACAAAATATTCCTCACTTTTCTATTGCGTCTTAATTATTCACTGCAATGAGTTTTTAAATAACTTTTCAGAGACCAAAGGCGAGTTTTGCTGTCACAGAAACGATATCAGCCTTACTTCTTGGTTCGCGGAGGATAAAAAATACGTTGTTATTAGACGCAGACAGTGCACAGCGGGTTCGTATCATAAAACAAAAGGAGCAGTTGAGACTCACAGAGGATATCGAGCAGAAGAGACGCCTCCCTCTCTCCCACCACGTTCTGGGCCGTGCAGCTGATCATACTGTTGTGGTCCATGGACGAGACGTTGTACAGGTGAAGGACCGAGGTCTGCCCCGACGTCTGGATCTGAGGACACGAAACAAACACATAAAACAAAGATTGGATTATTTTTTAAGACCATTTTGGACATTAGTTGAATAAGATGAATGCTCGTTAGACCTGGCAGCTGAGTGGCGAGTAGGGGAGAAACAAGAACTGAAATATTGTGATATCGTATCGTCAAAAGTCTCACAGTAATATCGCGTCCTGTCAGAATATATTGAATTATAAGTTCCTGTGTTTAAATGTATGGTTTTATAGTAGCAACAGTTTTATAAACATCAGAAACTACCGTATTTTCTGCACTATTAGGCGCTCTGGATTATAAGACGCACTGTGATTAAATGGCCTATTTTCGAACTTTTTTTCACAAATAAACCACACCGGACTTTAACTCTTTCCCCCCTGGACGCCTACAAGGAACAACCCATACATATGTTACTAGGGCTACACCCATAGAGCATAATTGCATAAAAGAAAACAGACTTCCACGACTGATTTCAGGGCAATTTTGGTTCATAATCGAGTATAAAGCCTGGATAGTTTGTTTGGATATCGCAGGACTCCATACAGACGCATCACTCTTTGAAAGTCCGTCGCTGTCGCTGTTTTCCACTTTATAATCACCCTCATCATCACTTTGAAATCTATAAAAGTCACTTTCTCTAAACTTATCCATAAAATACATCCGCTCCTCATTATTTCTAAAACTGTGCGCCGCAGCGTCGCGATCTTTCCATTGCTCGTGTTTCGTGTTGTGTTTTTTCCGGAAGCTACCATCGTCACTACTTCGATTAACTTCGGAAAAAAATCGGCGAAAACATATCCTTGAATCCTATTGGTCAGTCTAGTGTGGGTTGTAGTGGCCCCGACCTATCGCAGCCTCTGTTTAAATGTGAAAAACCGAGCCGTTTCTAAAGGTCGTCAAATCACGTCTTTAGTGATACAGCGGAGGTGTCAAAAGTCGTCATTAAGGGAACAGGGGGGTCGTCAAATGTCGTCTTCATGGGGGAAAGAGTTAAACGAAACACAACAGTGTGATGGGTGAGTGGTTTTGTTTGTTTGTTTGTTCACAGTGACTCTGGGCTTTGTTCAGTTGTGGCGTGTAGGGAGGGTGCTGTCTGGGACCAACTGGATTGTCGGCGTGTTTACAGTGACTCAGTTGTTCAGTTGCGTCTAGAAGTGGCACATTGCGCTCGCTTTTTCGGTTCGTTCCTCATTCCGTTCCTCGTCGGCGTGGAGTGATGAGTGTGTCTGTGGGTGTTTGTCGCTGTGCGGTCGCTGTCTGCTCCGTGTGTGTTTGCGTGCGCTGCGGGTGATGCGGCTTTGTAGTTTACTGAAGTCGTGCTGGGACACCCGAGTGGATTCGTGTATAGGGGCTCTGGATTGTGGGGTGCGCGGTCGTTTTTTGATGGGGTTGGAGGTTTAAGAGCGACTAATAGTCCAGAAAATACGGTACTTATTCCATGATTCATTTCAGTGCAGACAACATGAAGAAATATGTTTTAACTTGAATTTTTGGGATTATGACGGAAATAATTCACGGAAAAATCTTGTCAAGGTATATTAAAAGTAGAAACGATTATAAGCAATTATATAAGCTTCTCCAAAATATCGCAATAAATATCATACCGTGAGATCCATATTATGATTAAGATAAGATAAGATAATCCTTTATTATCTCCCATGGGATAAATTTGTCTTGGGACAGGGGGTAACATGCTTTATCAAAAAACAGGACAACACAACACAAAGCAGCACATAAACAAACACCATAAAACAAAGTAAATATGAGGCCAGTCTGACCACGAGTGATGCACCAACAGGACCTTTAAATTATTCTTAACAGGCAAACCCTCTGCATTCTTCTGTTCTATTAATTATTGCACATTCCCTAAGCCCATGTGCAGTTTTGATTGCACATTCCCTAAGCCTTTTATAATTATTTTTAACTACACTATCTGAGTTTAGCAGCTAGTGGCAAAAAAGAATGTTTGAATCTGTTCAGTTTACAGTTTGGGACCCTGAACCTTCTGCCTGACGGCATCAACTCAAACTGACTGTGAAGAACATGGGTTGGGTCACTGATCACCTTCCTGCCGAGCTTCCTCACAGTCTCCTCAGAAATTCAAGGTTCAAAGTTCAAGGTTCTTTATTTGTCATTCAAGCATGCGAGAGAAACACATGACAGAAGGAAATGTGCTCCCCGAGGCCCAGTGATCCAGAAAGAGATAAAAACAATAATAAATAAGCAATGTTAAAAAGTAAATACATCAAAACAACAACATTTAGCAGTTCTAATGAACAAGTAGTAAAAAAAAAAAACAACGTGGCAAGATAGAGAGGCAGCCCAAGCAGGAAGTCAGTGCACTGTTCAAAAGTCTGACAGCCTCAGGAAAGAAGCTGAACTTCAGCCGAGATGTTCTGGCTTTAACCCTCTCCAGGCAGGCGTTGCAGATTTGCAACAGCTAAATTCCAAGTACCTACTTACTCCACATCCATATTATATGAGCTTTTTTTACTCAGGAGCCTTTTCTCCCATCTGTGCTGATAAACGTGGGCGATGCAGACTGTGCAAGAATGGCTACACACACGCAAACGGCCTGCCAGAAGTGCAAAATACTTTTTTTGTTTACAAAGAATAAAAAAGTCAGAATTGTATATTACTACCCCATATTATAATTTTCCCCAAATATCAGATTTTTCCTGATACTAAAAATTCATTTGAGCCTGAGAGGGTTAATGCTCCTCAGTCTCCTCCCAGAGGCAGAGGAACAAACAGGTGGTGGGAGGGGTGCCAGGGGTCCCCCATGATCCTGGAGGCCCGTCTTCTACAACGCTCCTCATAAATGTCACTGATGGGTGTGAAGTCACATCCAGTGATCACACATAATATCGTACAGAGCGATTTGGACATCGTTACATCCCTAGTAACTTGCACTCTTGCCTCACTTTTTGGCTATGTTTATATGATAATGATCTGAACAGAAGATGCAAAAGTGGCGACGCGTCTTCACTTTTTGTTCTGCGTTTAGACGAGTGTTTTGAGGAGGAAATCTGCGTGCATACGGTGACGCAAAAGTGTGTGGAATTCGATCGGGTACGCATGCCATCCGACGTGTTTGTTTCTGTGTACTGTATGTGACATAAACGTGTGCGCAACGTGAGCAGATCTGACCAGAGTTTTGCGTCTTGGGCAACAGTGGAGCATATTCAACTTTTCCACTCTGGAGGTGGTTTCAGATTTTTGCGTTTTTAAGCCCCAAAAACGCCGTCACCGTCTAAAAGAAAAGCACTTCTGATAAAATATGTTGTCATTTTTACCTGCAAGTGTTCTCGTGTAAACAGGCTCTTAGAAAGTTCTGGGTTAAGCCTTTCTGTGTGGAGTTTGCATGTTCTCCCTGTGCTTACATGGGTCACACCAAAACATGCAACATTTGTACAATCCTTCAGCTAAGGTAAGAGGGTCCTTGATCCTGACAGGTTGCCCCAGAGGGATTTTAAGTACGGGTCAAATGCAGAGGTCAACATTTCTGCCTTAACAAATAGTGTGGAAGTGGGCAAATTGTGTAAATGTTTAAACATGAGCCAGACCAGGCGCAGGTTCAAGGACGAACCCCAGAAATACTGAGTGTCTCCAGAGTGTTTCCAAGACTTTTTTTCTGCGACCCATAATTTAAAAGTCACAAACCAAGTCAACAGACATTATTTGTAAATGACAAAATAAAGTTGTGTTTGATCATTATTGAACATTAAGGATGTTTTATTGTTGACTGGATGATCGTGTCTCTCTATCGGATTACAGTTACTTTGTTTAAATAAATAGATTACACAGCGGTATTTTCCTGTTCTCATATTTTGGGCTAAATCCAGGACTAAACCAGGATTAAAACCAGGACTAAACCAGGACTAAACCAGGATTAAAACCAGGACTAAACCAGGACTAAACCAGGATTAAAACCAGGACTAAAACCAGGACTAAACCAGGACTAAAACCAGGACTAAACCAGGACTAAAACCAGGACTAAAACAGGACTAAAACCAGGACTAAAACCAGAACTAAAACCAGAACTAAACCAGGACTAAACCAAGACAAAAAAAAACAGGACTAAACCAGGACTAAAACCAGGACTAAAATCAGGACTAAAACAGGACTAAAACCAGGACTAAAACCAGAACTAAACCAGGACTAAATCAAGACAAAAAAAAACAGGATTAAACCAGGACTAAAACCAGGACTAAAACCAGGACTAAAACCAGAACTAAAACCAGAACTAAACCAGGACTAAACCAAGACAAAAAAACAGGACTAAACCAGGACTAAAACCAGGACTAAAAAACTCAGGACTAAACCAAGACAAAAAAACATTACTAAAGCAGGACTAAAACCGGGACTAAAATCAGGACTAAATCGGGACTAAAAGCAGGTCTAAAACCAGGACTAAACCAAGACAAAAAAACAGGACTAAACCAGGAGTAAAACTAGGACTAAAACCAGGACTAAACCAGAACTAAACCAGGACTAAACTAAGACAAAAAAACAGGACTAAACCAAGACTAAACCAGGACTAAAACCAGGACTAAAACCAGGACTAAACCCGGACAATATCAAGTAATCCAAAGTATTCAGATTACGTTACTCACTTTAAGTAATTTAATGGATTACGTTACAAACTACATTTTGGGGGATGTAATCTGTAATCTGTAGGGGATTACATTTTTAAAGTCACCTTCCCAACACTGAAAACATGTCCCGACATTTCAGCCTTTCTACTGAGACAGGCGGGTCTGTCTGCGTGTTCAGGTCAGCGTCAGAACTGTATTTGCAGACGTACATGCAGATCGTGACAAGACGAAAAAAAAAAAAATCTTGCAATTCACCTGAGGGTCGTGAACCAGTCTTTGGGAAACAATGGTCAAGTCGAGGTAAAACGTTGAAGAACTTAAACCACTGCAGTGCTCTGTGTGTGTGTGTGTGTGTGTGTGTGTGTTTGTGTGTGTGACCTCTGACCTCGTAGTAGGTGATGAGCGCCGTGTTCCAGATCTGCTGCGGCGCTGGGACTCCAGACGTGGTGCAGGACAGCTGGACGTTATCCCCCTCCCTCACCGGAGTTTTGGACGTGATCAGGCTCGCCTCAGGAAGCTCTGCAATGGAGAGAGAGAGAAAGAGAAAGAGAGAAGGAGGGAGGGAGAAGAGGAGAGAGGAGAGAGAGAGAGGATCGAGAGGGAGGGGAGGAGAACAGATGAGAATTAGTGAGGTGATGTTTACGACCGAACAGCCTTTCTTTCTGTTTTCGCTCGTAACACTTGATTTGGGGCTGTGATTGTGACACAAGTAAAACATATTATTCATGAATAAAGATGATTTTATATTCTGTTTGTTGTAAACCGTAATATTAATCTGCAATAACTTAAAGAAAACATACTGTGCTTATGTTCGCTCCTGGATCATTATGTTATAGTTTGGACATTTTAAATCACAAAATTAATCTAAAACAGGGGTGTCAAACTCATTTTGGTCCGGGGGCCGTATCCAACCTACTTTGATCCCAAAGGGGCAGGATCAGAAAACTCATGTCATATAAACCCCAAAAATAACAATAAGTTCAAATATTTGTGCAGAGAAACACAAATCTATTACAGAAATATTTTTTTAATTGATGAACTCTTTCTTATTATAATATTATAATATTATGAACAACCTGAAACTTTAAGAAAAATACAATTTCAGCACAATGTTTTAACATGAACTTGTATGTAAATAGGAATAAGTCAATTTTTCTTGGAAAATCCTGCACTCGGCTCCACTTTTCTCATGTTGGACATTTTGTTGATGAGGGTGTCACGGTCAACAGTCAAAACGATCGTCCTTTAAGAGCGTTTGGAAAGAGACAAGTCTTCATTTGTGCTGCTCTGGTGGGAGGGGCCACGTACAGAGACACTGGAGACGCTGCTGTGATAAACACCACAGAAAATTAACAATATTTTAATAGAAAATATAATTAAAATATTTTAGTAGAAAATCATCCAAGGGCCAGATTAAAGGTCATGGAGGGCCGGATCTGGCCCCCGGGCCTTATGTTTAACACCTGTGATCTAAAACGACTTCACAAAGGAAACAAGTCTGGTGATGTCTGTGTTAGAAAACTGTGCCCGACGGGAGCTGACGTCACCGTAAACATCACCACAACAAGGAGCTGTGCAGTTGTCCGCGCCTCCGATGGACAGCTGCATGTCACACAGGCAAGAGGGTTACAGCCGCAGACTCCACGGCTGAACCGCAGGTCGGGCGGATGACGTGATGAAAAATAATATTTTAATAAAATTCGGACGGGTGGCGGTTTCACTACTCAAATAAAAAACTCTGAACTCGGAGCAAATGGGAGGAGACCGAGCGGACGGCGGGCGGGTGCGGTTTTGAAAACTGGTTAAAAAGTGTGGTTGCAAATGGAGAGCGGGCGGATGATGAGTTTTGCGATGCGGTTGCGGATGAAAAAGTGGCCCATCCGCGCATCTCTAGTTCCTGCAAACCATCTAGTGTTTTCTGATTCCTGACCTAGTCCCTGGAGAGAAATGAAATTGAGCAGAGGCACTAGGTGGCACCAGCCTGGCCAACTGAATCCTATATGTATCACCAAAATAAAATAAAATAAGATAAAATAAAATGAAATAAAATTTAAAAAAAAGAAAGAAATTAAAAGAAAAGAAAAGAAAAGAAAAAGAAATAAATAAAATAAAAGAAAAGAAAAATAAAAAAAATAAAATAAAATAAAATAAAATAAAATGAAAAGAAATAAAATAAAATAAAATAAAATAAAATGAAAAGTAAAGTAAAATAAAATAAAATAAAATGAAATGAAAAGAAATGAAAAGAAATGAAATAAAATCGGTTCGAGGTCAGTAAGCACAACCAGAATGAATACACAAGGTGCACCAGATTATAAGGTGCACTGTCAATTTTTGAGAAAATGAAAGGACTTTAAGGTTAATGTAAAAATTGTGCGCTGTCCCTGACTCAAATAAATAAATAAATACATAAATAAATAAGTAAGTAAATAAATAAATAAAAATAAGTGCTCCTTATAGTCCGAAAAATACGGTAATAATGCAGAATTACTCAAACTCCGGGTACGCAAGAGTAAATTTTGTGTATTATATGATCTTTTATAACTTTTAAGGCTAATTATCGATGCATTTTGCCTTTTTTTTTGTTACAGCTCAGGCCTTTTAATTATACGGTTTATTTTAAAATGATTTACTGTCATAATCCAGCTTTATTTTGATTGTGCCAGTGGTTTAAAGTAGTTTCAGTATTATCCTTTATCACTGTATTTCTCTGCAGCGATAAATCACGCGTCAAAATGTGCGTAATGTAACTTTGGCGCGGTGAAAACGGACATTTCCTGAGCACTCGAGCCTCAAACGAAAGACAACAGGAGATTAGTGAAACGTGCGCGGATCGATCAAAATATAACGGAGTGTTCTTATGATGAGGGAACACCGTCGGAACGTGTCGGGAAGCTCTTAAAAGTCCATTTTGCATAATCCGTCTCCTTTAAACTGTCAGAGACCATCACTGCTCAGAATTCACGGCCGGAGTCGGCGCCATTCAAACACCGGTCACGTTTTGGGCTAAACAATACGAGCGGGACACACACGAGGTCCACACACAAGCAGCTCCTCTCCTCCCCCTGCACACCTCTCTCTCTTTACCCCTCACTCCCTGTCTCTCTTCCTCTCCTTTTCTGTCTCTGTGTCTATATGTGTGTCTATCTGTTTCTCTCTCTCTGTTTCTCTCCGTTTCTCTTTCTCCATCTGTCACTCTCTCTCTCTATCTGTGTCTCTATCTGTTTCTCTCTCTCTGTTTCTCTTTCTCCATCTGTCACTCTCTCTCTCTATCTGTGTCTCTATCTGTTTCTCTCTCTCTGTCTCTCTCTGTTTCTGTTTCTCTCTCTCTGTTTCTGTCTATCTGTTTCTCTCTCTCTATCTGTTTCTCTCTCTGTTTCTCTTTCTCTCTCTCTGTTTCTGTTTCTCTCTCTCTCTGTCTCTCTCTGTTTCTGTTTCTCTTTCTCTCTCTCTCTCTTTGTTTCTGTTTCTCTCTCTCTCTCTGTTTCTGTTTCTCTTTCTCTCTCTCTGTCTATCTGTTTCTCTCTCTCTCTGTCTATCTGTTTCTCTCTCTCTCTCTGTTTCTCTTTCTCTCTCTCTGTTTCTCTCTCTCTGTCTATCTGTTTCTCTCTCTGTCTATCTGTTTCTCTTTCTCTCTCTCTGTCTATCTGTTTCTCTCTCTCTGTTCTTTTCTCTCTCTGTCTTCTGTTTCTCTCTCTCTCTTTGCCTATCTGTTTCTCTCTCTCTGTTTCTCTTCTCTCTCTCTGTCTATCTGTTTCTCTCTCTCTCTCTCTCTGTTTCTCTTTCTCTCTCTCTGTTTCTGTTTCTCTTTCTCTCTCTCTGTTTCTGTTCTCTCTCTCTGTCTATCTGTTTCTCTTCTCTCTGTTTCTCTTTCTTCTCTCTCTCTGTCTATCTGTTTCTCTCTCTCTGTCTATCTGTTTCTCTTTCTCTCTCTCTGTCTCTCTGTTTTCTCTCTCTCTCTCTGTCTATCTGTTCTCTCTCTCTCTCTCTGTTTCTCTCTCTTTCTCTCTCTCTGTCTATCTGTTTCTCTCTCTCTCTCTGTCTATCTGTTTCTCTCTCTCTGTCTATCTGTTTCTCTTTCTCTCTATCTGTTTCTGTTTCTCTCTCTCTCTGTCTATCTGTTTCTCTCTCTCTGTTTCTCTCCATTTCTCTCTCTCTATCTGTGTCTCTATCTGTTTTCTCTCTGTCTGTCTCTCTCTGTTTCTCTTTCTCTCTCTCTCTCTTTGTTTCTGTTTCTCTTTCTCTCTCTCTGTCTATCTGTTTCTCTCTCTCTCTGTGTCTATCTGTCTTTCTCTTTCTCTCTCTCTGTTTCTGTTTCTCTCTCTCTGTTTCTGTTTTCTCTTTTCTCTCTCTCTCTGTCTATCTGTTTCTCTTTCTCTCTCTCTGTTTCTGTTTCTCTCTCTCTGTTTCTGTTTCTCTTTCTCTCTCTCTGTCTATCTGTTTCTCTTTCTCTCTCTCTGTTTCTGTTTCTCTCTCTCTCTCTCTTTGTTTCTTTTTCTCTCTCTCTCTGTCTCTCTCTGTTTCTGTTTCTCTTTCTCTCTCTCTGTCTATCTGTTTCTCTTTCTCTGTCTCTCTCTGTTTCTGTTTCTCTCTCTCTCTCTCTCTCTGTTTCTCTTTCTCTCTCTCTGTCTATCTGTTTCTCTTTCTCTCTCGCTATCTGTTTATCTGTTTTATTCCTCTCTCTGTCTCTATCCATTTCTATTTCTCTCTCTCTCTCTCTCTCTCTCTCTCTGTCTCTATCTGTTTCTCTTTCTCTCTATCTGTTTATCCATTTCTCTTTCTCTCACTGTCTCTCTCTGTTTCTATCTGTTTCTATTTCTCTCTCTGTCTCTGTCTGTCTCTCCCTCAGTATCTATCGGTTTCTCTTCCTCTATCGGTCTCTCTTTCTCTCTCTCTGTCTATCTGTTTCTCTCTCTCTCTCTGTCTATCTCTGTTTCTCTTTCTCTGTCTTTCTCTGTTTCTCTTTCTCTCTCTCTCTCTCTCTCTCTTTTCTGTTTCTCTCTCTCTCTGTCTCTCTTATCTGTTTCTCTCTCTCTCTGTCTCTATCCATTTCTATTTCTCTCTCTCTCTCTCTGTCTCTATCTGTTTCTCTTCTCTCTATCTGTTTATCCATTTCTCTTTCTCTCTCTGTCTCTGTCTGTCTCTCCCTCCGTATCTATCGGTTTCTCTTCCTCTATCTGTGTGTCTCTTATCTCTTTCTCCATCTGTCTCTCTCTCTGTGTCGTTCTCTGTCTCTATCTGTTTCTCTTTCTCTGTTTCTCTTTCTCTCTCTCTCTCTCTGCCCCTTTCTCTCCCTGTTTCTCTCTCTCTCTATCTTTGTATCTTTCTTTGTCCTCCACCTGTCTCTCTCCCTTCCTTCAGTCTTCTCTCTCTCTCTGCCTTTTCCTCTGCCGTCTCTCCCTCCTCTCCTCTCATCTCTCTCCGTTAAACAAACTGTCGTGTCTCTCTCTCTCTGCGTTCGGTCAGCGACGGCCGGTCTGTCTCCGGTCGTGTTGTTGACGCGGCGGCGGGGGGAGTTT